TTTTCCGATTTAAATGTAGTGTTCCTTGAAAGTCACGAGCTGGAAAGAGAGTAGGGCACAGTCACCCTATCATGAGATTCAATACGAAAAATTGAAGTCATAACGAAGCGTCCAATTTGAAGAGTGTCTCCTTCACCTTCCAGCTCATGGGAGCAAACTGTTTATCATTTTCAAACAAGGGTAGTTGTCAGTCGTTTCGCGCTTCTCATTTATTCAATGTCAAGCAGGTCAACATTCAAATAGTTTTGCAAATATTGAAGTATTGAACGAGAAGTTAGATTCATAAATCGCACGTACGATTCATAAATATCACATCTTCACAACAGATGGTTGCACCCAGTTCAATTTTCTCGGCCTTCAGCAGTTGCGGTAGCCTTAAATATTTATTGGCACTGCATATTTATTGGCCGGCACGTATTCGACATCGTTTCGCGCCCTCACCAACGTCTCCGCGTGATTCAATGCAAGCCCGTGTGATCATGTCTGTGTATTGCGAACGTGTTACGTTACAAATTACTAGTGGGTATACTCGTAGTGACCTTTTATTTCATGGAATAAACGTAAAACCTAAAAATACAAAATTTAGGCAGTATCTAGAATCATTCTTCCTGGTTTTGCCATTCCACGTTCTAGATGTCTCATCGCGTCAGCAGAGAGATTGATTAGTAGCTATTTCCAATGCTTTGTTGACGTTACTTCTACAAAATCGATTACTTTCTTCATGCGCTCTCTTTTGTATCAGTCGCACTCGATAAGTTTCTTGTCAAGGTTCTTTCCGCAAAATATTGGGCCACATCTTAATCGTGATCTTCTAACGACATTGTTTTCTACTTTAACACACATACACCGCATATCTTGAGCAGATAACAACTACGTATTTGTTATCTATAAATTTACTTCGTCTGTTATTGGAGAATATCAACTCAATGGTGCTATGATATGCATCTTATTGCTTTCTAGTGAATCGAAGGAGTAATATGACTCCTTCATCTACAACATGGTAACATCTCTGACCGCCAAAGTTATTTGCCTTGCAGGCAATAAATATAAGCAGATCAAAAACATGCGAGACGAAAACCAATGCATTGTAAAGCTATGATAGACATGTCCACTTCTTCCAATTTTCAAACAAGGTGAGTCCATTTTATTCCAGTGCTCCTAGTTTTGCTGCGAATACAGAAATTCAGTCACGGACGTCCTTTACGACAATGGCCAGATCAAATTCAGTTGCTATCTGGAGGAGAGTTCCAGCGGTCAGCTGCTTAGATCGGTAATTTTCCAACCAGTACCAGACGACGCGTATCTCAACAAAGGTCGCACGGGCCACGCAAAACGTTACCTTCACCATTCCTTCAACATCTCTCCCCGTGCACCCACACTTACATGCACAACTACCACGCGTATCAGGACATCAGTCGAGAGATTAGACCTTGTCCCGGCTATTGCTGTACTATGCGGGAAGAGGATATCCTTCCAGTGGGCAACCCAGTGTACAGACCTACAGGTCGGCGCCGTATATCACGCTTATCACGTATCAAGGAAGGAACATTACCTCTTTCAGGCTAAAATATGGACTAATTACAAGTACAACTGTTGAGGATGCAAACTTGAAATACTCAATTGATTACACGAGGGCGAAAGCAATATCCACGTTCTCTCCTTCTATTTGTAGATGCCAAGTAGACATCATCCTTTTTAGTGACTATCTGAAGGAAACTATCCCTTTTCAAGGAGAACAGCTCAATGAACACTTACGCATGTTACCAAACTGTTTACTTGCCTCGGATCGATGATGACGGAATCTCCCCTTGTGTCTACTTGTCATCCCCCCGGTATTTGTTGCGCTGTGGCGACCGCAGACTAACGGAAGAGAAAGGATTACTGTCCCCCCATTGAACTAATTGACTTTGTGGTCGTAAACGACCTGAGGAACTTGTAATATATGTGGATGCAAGCCAAACATGCTATAGAAATTCTGGTCCCCTGGGCGTGAGTCCTATTACAAAATTGTTCGATGACCAAGACTCCACACACCACCAAATGCTCAATGTATTCAGTGATGGTAGATTTTAAGCTGTTTTGAACATTTAGAAGTAATAAATATGCACTGTTAGCGAGATATCATAACTTAATAAACGTAGTGTAGATTTATTGCCGAGTATGCATACCATTCTTTCAAGAATATTCTCCACCACTTTTCTCTAGAATCATCTATGTTCCATGCCTATTTGAATGTGTTTTTTCATAACTTTTGCCAATCAATTGCACCTGTATCTATCGGCTTCGCAGTTTCCATTCCATTTGCTTTGAATTGTCCGTGCACCATCCCAACTTCACGAAAGTTCTTTTTCTAGTGGAGGAGTCTCAACTTCTCTCTTGAACCATGACCTTTTAAATTCAAGATGCTCCCGTCTCCCCCTACCCTCCATTAACCTTACTTCACACACTCAACAACTCCGGCAGCACCGTCGTCACCTTCCTCGTTTTACTCGTGGTCTCCACGCAAAATCTCGCGACTTTCGACGCTCTGAACAACCGCCACTTTCACGCCCTGAGTCCCTTCGGCCTTTCCAGGCGCCCACGCGGAGCGCAGCGCGGCGGTCACGTCCCAGCTCCCTCTGTCCCTTTGGCAGGCGCTCAGCCCTCCGGCACCGCAACATCCCCCTCCTCCACCCCCGCGAAGCCCGCTCCCCCGCGGTCCCCCTCTGCCGATGTCACCATCCTCTTATCCTTCATCCCTACCGGCTTCCCCTCCGACTCTTCCGTCGTCTTCCCCTTCCGACTCTTCCGTCGTCTTCCCCTTCGACTCTTCCGTCGTCTTCCCCTTCCGGACTCTTCCGTCGTCTTCCCTTCCGACTCTTCCGTCGTCTTCCCCTTCCGACTCTTCCGTCGGTCTTCCCCTTCCGACTCTTCCGTCGTCTTCCCTTCCGACTCTTCCGTCGTCTTCCCCTTCCGACTCTTCCGTCGTCTTCCCTTCCGACTCTTCCGTCGTCTTCCCCTTCCGACTCTTCCGTCGTCTTCCCCTTCCGACTCTTCCGTCGTCTTCCCCTTCCGACTCTTCCGTCGTCCTCACCGTCGTCTTCCCCGTCATATTGCCCTTTGTCTTGCCCGCTGTCTTTCACGTCGTCTTGCCCTGTGCCTTGCCCTTCGTCTTGCGCGACGTCTTTCCCGTCGTCGTGCCCTCCTCCTTTCCCGTCGTCTTGCCCTCCGTCTTTCTTGTCGTCTTGCCCTCCGACTTGCCCGACAGCTTGCCCTCAGCCTTGCCCGTCGTCCTGTCTTCCGTCTCGCCCTACGTCTTGCCTTCGTATTTTCCGACGTCTTGCCCTCCGTCTTTCCCCTCGTCTTGTTCTCTGTCTTGCCCTCCCATGCTGTTCCCCTCCTGTGCTGTCTTGCCCTCCCTGCTTCCCCCATGTTGTTCCCCGCTGTCATTTCACACTTACTCTTTCTCCCCCGTCGCCCCCATGCACTCTTACGCTATCTTTTCCGACGTCCACGCAATTTCCCCCGCCGTTTTCCCCGACGACGCCATTTCTCCTGCCGTTATCATCGTCTGTGTCGGCAAAGTCCTCTCAACACCCTGGGCGGCATTGCCGCTGCCACGTGGCTACCAACGCGGCCCTCGCAGCCACGTCGCTGCCGTTTGTCCCGGGGCTGCCCCCTTCCATTGTGGCCGTCGTCTACGGAGAAGTGTGCTCGCTTTGTAGTCGGATAATTACACGCACCTTTGATACACGGCGCGGCGTCGGCAATTTGATTAAGCTCGCGCAGCGGGCTCCTTGCGTTCCCAGTACGTCTCCTGTTCTTTCGTGGGGCATTCGCTTGTTTTAATCGACGAACCGTGAAATGCTGTGTGATTTCTGGTGCTGAAATAAAAAACTAATTTGTTCCAAGTGAAATTCTGGAAAACTCTGCTTTTCAGGATAAGCGATTAAGCCTTTGTCCTTGAAACATTCTGTTTAAATTAAATACTAGGTTTTCGGTCAATTTATTCGTCCGTACGCTTGTATTACACAAAAGGGTTTAAGGTAATTTAGTTTCCAATTTCGAGTGTCTGATCAAAACAACTTACGTATATGTATCAGTGTATATTGGCTAACATTCGCGGTCTGAAAAATGAGGTTAACTCAAATTAACTTATTTCATTTTATATAAAAATCACGAATAAACACGAATATCTCGTACACTTATCTTATTTTTGCAACGTCTTTACATAACAGCTTAATCGCAGTCAAGGACCTATTTCAAGAAATAATGGGCTTCCCGTGAAAACTATTGTTAAGGAACACATGTGTCCCGAACACATATCCTCCTTTCTTGATTAAATAGTTTCAAGTGAATTTTTCCACACATGCTGGGCATGTAACATGCAAAATACATTTTTTTAAACATGATTAAAGTTCGATCTTTGCAAAAGTATTTTATATTATAGTCGGTTTTAAAGGGGACCTGAGGGGGAAAGGCGGACAGGGAAGATGGGAAGCGAGGGTAGACTAAAATTCCTTTCATTATCATGTACCCCGCACAGTCCCTACCCTAAATGTAGGACGTACAACTATTGATAATCATTTACGCCACGATTTATCCTGCATCCCTCGAGAATAAGGCTCTATTTTAACCCCCAACTATTAATATTTTGGGATGATATTTTTAATTTCTTAAATAGAACAACCGATCTGGATGGCCGAGGCTAAGAGCCTGTACCAACTCAGCGCTTCGATCTGAAGGGTCGTGGGTTCGAGTGCCGCCTTGCGCATGATTGTTTGTCCCTTGTCTTTCATGTATTTGTTGTCACAGAGGGCTTCGCGGTCTGTTGACTCCAGATCAGAGGAGGCCGCAAGTGTGTTGGTGTACGGTCGAATACATATTTCATCATAATCGGCTATCGGCTGGAAAAAGTTCTAGGAAAAAATAGAAGAACAGGGAGATTTTAATTATTTACTCGCGACAAGGAGAATATGCGGACTGTGTGAGTGGAGACGCGATTTAAATTGCTGTTGCAGAGAACGCGACGAGAATGTGCTACTCCAACGGCACGTGGCGCAACTACTCGGACTACGTGCACTGCCGCGAGCTGGTGGAGGCGGAGGCGGACGAGGACGCCGCCATGGCCTTCGTCTTCTTCGTGGGCTTCTGCCTGTCGCTGGTGGCCATCGCCGTCGCCATCTGGATCTTCCTCTACTTCAAGTACGCGCTTCCCTCTTGGTCGCGTTTTCATGAAAATTGAAGCGCGGTATTAACTTACAATGTTTATTATTTATTCTTCTTTCGAATTCTTTTTTCCAAAAGCTGTGAGTCGCAAGGATATTAGGTTTTATCTTTATCTAATAATTTTATAAAAAACGAGAGAATGTATTACCATATTTTACATTTTATTAAGAATGTATTGGATTATTTTATTTTATATTAGGATATATACAATTAACTGGCCACTATGCATATTAATGCGATGTTGAATTGATGAATGATAAAATTTTGATGATAATAATTGTATAAACATGGAAATGAGACACTGTTCAAAAATATTTTAGCAGAATTGAAGTGAAGTGTAAAGAAAGTTCTAAGAAAGCCTCCGCTACATCCGTTTCACTATATTTTCTAGTATTATTTTATAACACTGTTTGAAATATGTTACAGAGACTTGCGGTGTCTTCGTAACACCATTCACACCAATTTAATGGCGACGTACATCTGCAATGATGCAACGTGGATTATTAGCGCAGTGGTACAGGTAAGTACGAAAGCGCTTACTCTTAAATAACATTCTTCTACGTGTAAGAAGTTATGAAACCATGATTGTGTTTTTTCTGACTTGCTGATGAAACCATTATGGTAATATCTTGCCATTAAAGTGAAAAATTGTTGCCCAGTATTCTTTAAATAAATGGCATTATGGATGTTTACAAATTATTTAAACTACTAGCAAAATACTCGGCGTTACCAGGGTTTCTTCATATCCAATCCTAGTAAAAGAAGACAGAGATATAGAATTTAGTATAAACCACGATGAGTAAGATTATTTTATATGATTGCTTCAAATTTTAATTATATTCTATATTTTACAGTTCATTGCTGTTATATTAAAAATGTTGATATTACGCACTGACACTTGCCTCTAGCGAAACTATTAGGTACCAGTTATGCTGCACCGCTATTGGCCTCTGGCGGAATTTACATGTATTTAGATTCCCTTTTATTTGTATATATTACTCGGCATATTGCTATACCATAAATATACGAGAAGTTCAGTCACATTAATATGACTACAGTGGCTACGGCGACGGTTTTGGATATCGCCATTTTGCCCATCTCTTGTAACATCACATATAATTCAGACAAGTATCCCTCCCGCACGACAGCTGTTCAGACACCATGGCTCCCGTTAAGACATCATGGCTTCTCACAGTTAACAACCGTGTAATTATATAAAAAAATAAATTGATGAAACTAAAACCACGGAATGTTCTCGATCACAGCTCACAGGATCGCATAGGAGCAGGAAACACGTGCCTCAGTACGCAGTTGTCATTTGAGACTCTGTTTTCAAACTAAGCATAATACTTACCACACAAAAAGTTAAATTAACTTAATGTTTATAAACGAAGATTTTTTACGGACGGTCGCTGTAGTACTTCACTGCCTAATTTCAATTATTTATCATGGCAAATTACATTTTCGTCGAAATAGGACACAACGAAAAGAAGCGTCGAAGTCATTTACAAGTTTACTAGTCATTTACAGACAATTGCAAACGAACGACTGATGGAAGGAGAGTCAAATGGACTGAAGGACACAACGACCACAGAAACTTCAGTTACGTTACAAGCACTAGCTATCAAAGCGGCCCTTTCTTATAAAAACTCTCTCTGTATTGTGGCTGCCTCCACAAGCGCGATGAGCCCCGTAGACGCCCACTGCACGGCTGCGCGTGCGCCAATTTTAAAAGTCCCAACACAACTAGAACATTTGTACTAACAGAAGGGAATTGTAAGATGTGCAATCGACATCGATATCACGAAAAGTAGAATTTGAATAGGTACGAAATTATTACAGGATCTTCTTCAAAATCGTTGGAGTAACCTTGCCAAGTTTGGTAAAGATTGATGCAACATTAATGTGGAAAATAAAGAATTTAAATAAGTCAGTAGAAGTTTTTGAATTTAAATAAGTCAATAAGTCAGATCACAATTTTTTGCCTGTCTCTAACACGAGCAGATTCCTTATATATTCCACCTTAGGCCAGTAGCGGCGTACCAGAATTGGTACCTATTAGATTTACTAGAGGCCAGTTGTAGTAAGTATGATTAGCATTTTTAATCCTATAGTAATGTACTGTAAAATAAAATGAAATGAAATTATAGTACTTTGTTATTTTTAATGTTTCAAATTTTAATAATCTTAAATATCATGGATTGTAAAAATATTGATATTTTTCCTCTTTAACAAAAATTGAATATGAAGAAATGCTGGGTACGCCGGGTATTTTTCTATCACACTATAATTGAAGTAGTATTCTAAACTTTCAATTTGTAAACACAAAAATATAAGAAATCTTCAAACTAAGTTTAACCAACCACATCTTTTGTTTTCTCGACCTTGTACGAAACTCTTTGCATTTTTATAATAAAGAACGTCTGTAATGTAGATACAACTTATTTATCAACATGATTAGAAAGAAATTAGAAAGAAATCAAGAAGAAAAAATAAAAGATTTTTTCTAGAAGAAAATATGGAAACTCACTTCTTTGTTTTAAGTTACAAATGACCATAAAGCCGTAAGTGACCATAAAGCCGTTTTAGTCGATTTACAGTTAAATATTTCAAAGAAAAGTATTACCACCGGTAGCGCCTCGTTGGCCTTGCGTACATGCTGAGTTCGGCCGTTTGCTGATTGCAACTTGTGATCAGCACCCTACATGCAAGTTGTGACTTAAACACTTACACTCTGATATCCGACTTGATGAAATGAAAGCCGCACTCTTAAAACCGGCATGACTATTAAGCTTTAACGTCACCATACCTAAAGCCAATCGAAACTCGAATTGAAAGGAAAGGTGGCCTTTTCGATTTTGCCTATCAATGCAAACTATTCATTATTTAATATATACTTTTCATAGAAATATAGCGAAACGTTCGAAAAAAAAAAACATTGAAACACCACCGTAGTTCTCAAGCTACTTGGAAGTGAAAAGTATTCAAACGGTTCAGAAGGGATTCGTTTGGAAAAAAAAAAAAAAGAAAAAAAGAAAACCCGCATTAATAAAAACGTATTATATTTCGTGACTTTATATCAAAATCAATAGGTATACTAAAGGAAAAATAAATACACAGGTCTTATAATTTCATTCAAAACATTTAACATTTTCAGTTTGATTGATGATTGATTGTATTGATTAGAGTTTCTGGTACTGGAACTACTAAAGAAATCTAATGTAGCGTTGTACGGTTGTAATAGTGCCGTGTTTTATTTGGAACGGTGGAAGTCGTACATCTTCCTCCTTGCCGAATATGGCGCATATACCCTCGCCTATGAACTTTCCTCAACCAGACAGTGTTTTGTTATCTACCAGCCTGGACCCCGCCCAGCCTGTCAAAAGCTCTAGGTGTCTCCCGAATTGTAGTAGTGTAGTCGCATGTAAGTATGAGATGTAGTAAGACGATAGGACAAGAAAGAGAAAAAAGAAAAGAATCGCTGCCGGTCCGTGCCCGTTTTGATTATGGTACCTGCCCATCTCTCCTGCTCGAAAGGAGAGAAGCACAAAAAACTTCCGATCAGAACAGCCGGCCCCCGCTAAATCTTCTCCCTTAAGAGCTACTTATCCAGTTAATGTGGAAAATCGGGTTCGAATCCATTGGTCCCGCGAGCACTTCGTGACCACGAAGACATCATGGCAATCTCGTGACAACATAAGCCAGTCGATATTCAATTAAACCGTTAATCAAACATGTGTTCAAAGTGGCCCGTAAAATATTTGGAGAATTAAAACAGAAGAATAAATTACTCCACCATCCCTTTTGACCTTTCATTTGGTTTTCAAATATTGAATGTGAACCATTATTTTAACAAAATGTGCACTGCTACAAATCACTTTAAATACGGTACCGATATACTCAATTGCAAACCCGTAGCATTTACGCGCGGGGATGAAGAGAAGATTAATTCTTAAAAGACTGACGCCTACGTATTTCTTTAAAATCATTCTGTTTTTACGCCTAACAATTGTCTACCTAATAACTCTCAACGGATATTTTAAAACAAGGCAGGTGCAGAAAAAAAAACTTTGGGTATTGGGAGTTTTGGTCCCACCGCGTTTTGCTAACGCTAAAGGACCAAAACCCCTTATGTTGCACCAAACGAGTCATTGTATGCTTGCTGCATGCATCAGCAGGCTAACATATCTAATCTTCCGATAACTCATATGTTAAGCAGTTTTCGCTGGGATGGAAAGAAGTAGGTCAGTCTGGAAACATATGTACAAACTATAATAAGTTTAAAAATCTTTGATTCATTATTCTTAATTCCCAGTCAAGTACTAAGGTATTTCTCGCAATTTTTGCATATCCGATATTTATACCATAAAAACACCCTATACTTAATCTATATATTCTAGACCCAATTAATTACAGATCAATTTAAATTTACGACAACTATAGTCCAATTAATTAAATCTTTAAATGTATTGCTATATACGAGACTGCTATATACAATGGAACTGAACCAGGTCCTCTGGTCGTTCCCAAACTTGAACCGATCAAACTGTTTCACTACTCGGGACGATATTTACATCCATTCATGACTTTTGTTCCCCAAATGACGAATTTTAGGATGACATTGTTGCCATGTCCACTGGACGTACAATTGTTCGGGATGGGGGTTGATGAAGATAGTTGTTCGGCCCAAATCGAGAGAATATTTGCCACCCCATCACTCAACAAATCCCCCGACAACATTTCATAGACATAATCGAAAGTCAGTTGTGCACATTAACGTCCCCCGCCGCAAACACTTTCGCGTTAATGGACGCTATAGAGGCAGGATGACTCAAATTTCTACTCCGGGGGTCCTTCCAATCATCGACTTCTTGGACCCATACCACTTCGCGTTTCTACACTCTCGCCAAAAAAGAAAGGCCGATCTCATATATTGTAGAGCCCTCTCACCAGAATTTTTTCATGCACCATGAAGAGAGATGAAACGTTCATAGTTCTTGGTAAAAAACTTTACTTAGCAGAGAATTCCAATTCATAGTTAGGCCACCTATAAAAACAAAAAGGAGTTGGTTTGGTCCAGCCATTTTCGACAATTATTAAAAGAGCCTACCATCACCCACTGATGGAAAAAAAGGGATATGTTACATCCTAAAAAGAACGTACAATGCAGCATGGCTTGGTGGATCCAATCAAAATAATCCATCACCAAACCACGGACACGTGCCTTATCAGTAACACCACTTGGATCGAATTCCCTAGAATGAAAAATCAGAACTATATTAATTTTATAAAACACACACAATAAATAATTTAAAAAAAATCCCAAATAATGAGGTGTAATGCATCATTTCAGTAATCAATTGAGAAGATCTCTCTCCT